CCCAAAACGGCCGCAGCCATCATGTTCTCCGAAAGCCTTCCAGGAACGTGGCTGTCGCCGCCAGACCGAGGAAGCGAAGTGCCACGGCCGCAGCCATCACCGGAGAGCTTTCCAGGAACGTGATTGTCGCCATAAGTCATCATCATTTGGCTGAGGAGGAGGAGGAGGAGGAGGAGGAGGAGGAAGATGAGGAGGAGGGGGAGGAGGAGGACGAGGAGGTGGTCCTCAAGTATTTTCCCGTTGTCAGTCGGACCCCACCTAACCCCTCCCTAAACCGGGCCTGCCGGATCCCTGGCCTCACAGGTGCCCTGGACGCCCTTTGGGAGGGCTCCTTCCGAATTTCGTCGCCGGGCCCGAAACGGTCCAGCAGGCAGCCAAACAGCCCCACGCGTTTTCGTATCAATTGTTTTGCCGATCGGCGCGGGTCCTCGCACCCCCCACTCCCCCCCGCATGGAGTAGATCTTGGCTGTTTTTGGCACCTGTTTCGAGCAGGTGAAGTCTCCCCCATAGGACGCACTGTTGCAAACAGTCGAATCAAACAGAGGTCCAGAGCCAGACCCCTCCCCCTCCCCCCCCTTTGTGCCCAATGTCGAAACGCCGAATCAGAAAACGTTCACAAGGCCCCATACGGCCCCAGACCCATCCCAAAAAACGCCCGACGACGACCACAGAAGGCCAAGGCCCCATGGCCCTCCCAAACGCAAAATGCAAAACTTGCCAGATCCTCACGAGGCAACATTCGCTTCGTTCCCTAGGGGAGCGCACATGTTCGTCAGCTTCGCCCTTGCGCACGGAACGCCGTCGCGGACCGCCCACGAGGCCTCCAGGATCGCCCCGGGCCGACCGCAGCCCTTTGTGGTTTGATCAAGGGCCGGGGCCCTTGCCCAGATCTGCGCACCGCATGCTGCATACCCGCCCCTCCTTCACCCCGCCACCTCCGCGCGGCTACCCGGCCGCGGCTCTCCTCCTGGCGACCAGCGCGGCCGGGGCCCTGGGCTCCTGGCCCGCGCCCGCCGCCCCTGGCCACGGCGGGCCGGACGGCACCGCGCTGTTGCAGGTCCAGGCCGCCCCCGCTGGCGCCGGGGCGCCGAAGTTGCAGGGCCCACTTGGCACGGCTGGCCGGGCACCCTCCGGCCGCCAGTCCAGCTCGGGGAGATCCCCCGACCTTGAGCAACTGCGCCTGGCGCCGCCACCAGAGGTGCACCTGCTGGTCTCCCTGGTGCTACGGGGGAGGGGGGCAGATCACCCTCACGTGCAGGAGATGCTCGCCGCGTTTCAAGCGAACCTGGAGAACGCCGATATCACCAGCGTCCACGTCCTCTTGGAGACGCCAGGCGAGTCCAGCAGTTCGTGCGATACTCTGCCCGCGGCGATGCGTAGTGCGACTGGCATAGGGGTCGATCCGAGCGATTTCGGTAAGGTTACGTGCAGCAGGTGGACTCGTCAGCCAACCTATGCTGACTTCTTCAGGTACGCTAACAGCAGTATGAGCAGTACAGGGAACATCGTGCTTGCTAATGCGGACGTCGTCTTCGATGGGACCCTGCGGCGGATGATGCAGTTGCGGCCTGGCAGCGAGGGTCACCTCATCTCCGTGCGGGCCCCTCATTTCAGTGGAACTTTCAAGGCACTCTGGCGCGTTCCTTGCACTACGGTTCTGGACAAGTGCTCGAGAGAGACCCATAGCTGGGACGCGTACGCGTTCTCCTTGCCCCTGCCTCCTGGTTTATTGGGTGCCGATCTGGATTTTCCAATGAACGTGATAAGTGCAGATCACAGAGCTGCTTTTGCTCTTAGCGATTCTGGCCTAACATTGACGAACCCTTGCATGCACATCAATGCATTTCATTGGCACTGCTTTTCGACTAAGATGCACGCTAACTTCACGAACGAATACTTGGAAAGCAGCCCCCGCTACGCGACGGACAGACCTGGCCTGATTAAAACATCGTATCCGTGCCTCGATTTCCCACTCGACGAATTCACTTCCCCAGCATGTCGGCAGTGATGCGTTCGGGGACTCCGCTTCCGACCCCATTGCAACAAGTTATGCGAATTTGATGGTGTGATCTGTTTCAATACGTCGGCCTGCCGCCATTCATTGAAGAAGAGAAATCACCATAAACATACACTTTTGACGCTCCGCGCGGATTTCTTGGATCCGCGCTGGGCCCCCCGGACGGCGCCTCCAGCGCCGCCCCTGGCGCGCTCCGCGCGCCTGGGAGGGGGGTCAGCGCAGATCCAAGGAATCCGCGCGGAGCTCCAAAAGTTTATGTTTACAGTGCAGGCCCATGCCAAGAAACGCCCTGATTGCCTCCAGTGTGCCCTGGGTTTCTTGGGTTTCCATGGTTTTGCTGTGGGAGGCATGACGTTCCTACGCCAAAAATCGATGGACGTCCTGGGGTCTCAGGGTTGGGTTTCTTGTGGAAGGTCTCTTGAGGACTGGCCTCCACTGTATGCTGTTTTTTCTTCTTTTCTTCGTCTAGCATGGCCTGCTGCCGCTCGAGGAGGGAGGACTGGTCGGGGCGGGGGCCAGGGTGCGGGGGCTGTCACGAGCGAGTGCGGGCCAATGCACGGTTAGTGGCGTGCCGTGCGGTGGCATGATTGATGTTGCCAGCACGGTGGCCTCGAGCCAGGCGGTCACTGAACGGTGTGCGAGGAGTTTTAAGCGTAAGCCAAAAAAGATCGCCCCAAGCCGACCCATGAGGCTCCCAAGACGGCCCCAAGACAGGCTGCGAATGCCCCAAGGCGGGTCAGAAGGCAGCTTCAACGGCCCAAAAAGCTCCAAGAGGGTCCCAAAAAGCTGTGCGAGAGAGCGAGAAGACTCGACCTCACATCTGGAGGTCCGAGGCCTCCTCCGCGGGATCCCCCCAAGATGTCAAGAAAGAAACGTTCGACGCCCAAGGGCGACACCTCGGGAGGCCCACAGCAGATTTTCAAAATACGCTTACGAGGCACCCGGAGCCTCCTGGACGCCTCTTCTGGACGCCTCTTCCGAGAGGCTTCCCAAGATACGCCCCGATATATCCAACACGTCTCAGGTCCGCAATTATGAGGGCCTTTGATGGGCCCCCGCACCGCGCACATTGCCTTGGAAGTAGGCCACAGACGCCCCGAATCGCCCCACGCATGGATCTTGGAGTCCTCATCGTCTCCAACCCACCCGAACGTTGGAGTCCTCATCGCCTCCAGCTAACGCAAAGGGGAGCAAAGCGAGCCGGCGGGGCCCCCCAGCACGGGCCCGCGCGGCTCCAAGATGGTTTTCAGGCAGCCCCAGAGCGCCCCAAGACGGCCCCATGGTTGGCAGGACGCTGGTCAGAAGTGGCTCACGAAGCCCCCCCCGCGGGTGACCTGGATGCCCCCAGAGGCTCCAGGAAACGCCCGCCGATCACAGAGTTCGTCGGCGTGCCGCTGGAATCGCTCGAGCTCTTTACGAATGCGTTCGGGCGTTCGATTCCTCCTCCATGGAACAAGGTGCATGGCGCGAAGCGCCAATGCAGTGTGTGTGTGTGTGTGAAAAATAAGATACGAGTTATACCAGATAAGCTATATCATCATCTAATAGAATAAAATATAGGTTGTTATATATATATATATACATACAGGATCAGCATCCCCCGTGTGGACACATCGTTGTGTTTTCTCAATGTCTCGGTCTATCTCTCTCTCTCTCTCTCTATCGGTTCTTCCTCCTCCTTCTCCTCCTCTTCCTCCTCCTTTCCTCATGTTCCTTTCCTCCTCCTCTTCTGCCTCCTCCTCTTCCTTCGCCAAAAAGGCTTGCGGGAGGAGGGTGGCCACCATCGATTGCTATTCACATGTTTATTTTTGGGGGGGTTCTCGGTCGGTGATGCCACCAAACACTGCTATTTACAGATGTTTGGGGTTATCAGGAGATCTGCACATTGCGCCAGGATCATTGTGACTGTAGAACAAACAACTGTGAATGGCAGTGTTCGGTGGGCTTGTGGCCACGAAGGCATGCTATCACATGTGTTTTGTTTCTTTCGGGGAAGGGGGGCACCACACACTGCAATTCACAGTTGTTGTTGTTGTTGTTGTTGGCTCTTTTTTCCATATTTTCGAGAGGTTTCCCCGCGACGAAGGTATATCTGACCTCTTGAGCACCAAAGAAAGCAGCACCAAGCATGTGAATACGCAGCAGTGTTTGGTGGCACTACTGACAGAAGAGACATAGCAAACCTGTGAATAACATGGCTTCGTGACCACAAACCCACCAAGAAGTCCAGCAGCCCACCAAGTCCAGTGCTGCTGATGATGAGAATGATGACGATGCTGCTGCTGATGATGATGATGATGATGATGCCGATGCTGATGATGCTGATGAGGATGCCCATGATGAGGCTGATGATGAGGATGATGAGGATGATGATCATGATTTTGCTCATGATGATCAGAAGGAGGAGCGGGAGGAGGAGGAGGAGCAGGAGGAGGAGGAGGAGGAGGAGGAGGAGGAGGAGGGGGTTGAGGAGGAAGAGTAGTAGGGGGTCGATGATGATGCTGATGATGATGATGAGGAGGAGGAGGAGGAGGATAGGAACAGGAGAAACATGAGGAGAAGGAGGAGGAGAGGAGGGAGACGAAGGAGGAGGAGGAGGAGGAGGAGGGGAGAAAGAGCAGGAGGAGGCGGAGGAGGATCAGCAGGAGGAGGAGGAGGAGAAGGATGAGGAGGAGGAGGGCGAGGGAGGAGGAAGAAGAAGAGGAGGAAGAGGGGAAAGAGAAGGAGGAGAACGAGAGAGGACAAGGAGAAGGATGACGACGAGGACAAGGGTGGAGCAGGGGCAGGGGGAGGAGGAAGGAGGAGGAGGAGGAAGAGGAGGGGGAAGAGGAGGAGGAGAAGGAGGGAGGAGGAGGAGGAGGAGGCGGAAGGCGGATGCGGAGGGCGGGGGAGGAGGGCGTAGGAGGAAACGGAGGCCTCTTTCCGTCCCCACCCCCCCCACTCCCGTCCCTCCCTCCCGCCCCCGTCCCCCCCTTCCCCGAGTACATCATGGGGACCGTGAAGACACCCATCCCGTCGAAGGGCTTCAGCCTGGTCGAGGCCCCGGACAGCGGGCACGAGGCCGCTCGCAGCGCAAGGGCCAGGGAGGAGGGAAGCCTCCGAAAGGAATTCTGGAGGGATCTCAGGAGGGGCTCCCACATCCTCTTCCCCCCCTCCTTCTTCCTACACTCTCCTCCTTCCCCTCCTCCCTCCTCCTCCTCCTTCCTACACCTTCCTCCTTCCCACCCTCCTCCTTTACCTCCTCCTTCCTACACCCTCCTCCTCCTTCCTACACCCTCCTCCTTCCCCCTTCCCCCCTTTCCCCCTCTTCCTCCTCGTCCCCCTCGTCGTCCTCCTCCTCCTCCTCCTCCTTCTCCCCCTCCTCCACCTTCTTCGGACTCCCGTTACTCAACAATGCCGATTGCCATGTCTGAAGTTGACTCACGCCTCGCCCCTCGCGAGGGGCCTGCTCTCAGCAGGCAGTCGTTCAGGCTCTCAAGCTATGTGCAGTCAACCCGTACAGTAAGGATGAGAGAGTTTCCAAGATTACCCTCACATCCTTCCCCTTCGGCCCATCCGTGTCCACTTTCGCTGGCCGCGCCCCGCTGGCAAAATGTCGACATGGCCCACGAAGGCCCTTGCATCCTCATCGTGTGTCCTTATCACGGTCGGACCGAGGTATAAGGTCGAGGTCGGTTTGGGGAGGGTACTTTGATGTTCTTTGTTTTTGTTGAATGATTCTGTGCATCCTGGGGAAGGTCACCCTCGAGTGATCTCATGGTTTGGGTGTTTTGGCCGGCGGAGGGTAACATGTTCTCGAAAGACGTTGTCGAAGACGCCTACGGCGAATCACCGTCACCCCCTGCCCCTGCCGTTTGGAATCGCCCATGTAACCAAGCGTTCTGGCAAGAACTCTGCCAAGCTATCGGACCATGCGTTCCGCCAGTCGTTTTGAAAACCCTTGAGGGAACACTTGGGGGAGGATGGCGGGGACGATCAGGAGGAGAAGGAAAAAGGAGGGGGCATCTTAGGAGCATCTGGGGACACTCTTCGGGCCTCCTGGGAGCTTCCTGGGAGCCTCTCGGAGGCATACTGGGGGCCTCCGTGGGCCTCTTGGGGGCCTTGGGGGGCTTCTCGGGGGCCTCTTTGGCAGTCTTAGCGAATCCCTGGCCCGTCTGACGCCGTCGGAAGCCGTCATGGGGGCCTATCTGGGCCGACTTGGGGTCCTCCTCCTCCTCCTCCTCCTCCTTGTCCCTCCTCCCCCCATTCATTCGTCGTCCTCCCGTCTCCTCCCTCTCCGGCGTCGTCGTCCGCATTGGCGCGTGTCGCGGCGAGGCTGACGTCTACGTCCACAGCAGCGTGGCGCCGCCGGAGGCCAGAGGGAGGGCCTCCTGGGCAGGGCCCAGGAGTTGTTTGTGCACGAGGGCGCGGACGAGGAGGAAGGGAGGAGGAAAAGGAAGAGGAGGAGGAGGAGGAGGAGTAATTAGGGGGGGAGGAGGCTGCGGGATGCAGGTTAGGATCCTCTTCAAGGAGGCCCTGCGGCCCTGTCGCCGCCTGCGGCTGCTGCCGCCGTCGATCGTTCGATCGTAACTCGATCAAATTAGCTGCCGCCTGCGATCAAACTCACGATGGCCGAAACGGTAGAAACGCTAGGGGGGAGGAGGAGGGATGAGGAAGAGGAGGAATGATGAAGACCATGGGGCTGGGATGATTGGGGCGATTGTAGTGTGGATCGTGACGATGAGGATGATGAGGGCGGCGAGGGGGATGAGCAGGATGATGCTATTGCTGATGCTGGTGGTGATGGGAGTGCCAGTATTGGTGTTGTTGGTGATTATGGTGGTGAATATGATGACAGTGGTGGTGATGATGATGATGGTGATGGTGGTGATGATGATGATGATGATGATGGTCTACTGTGATGGCATGGCGCTGGTGGTGCTGGTAGTTCTGGCGAAGACGATGATTATAGGACGATGATGAGGAGGATCGGGACGAGGCGGAGGATGCGGACTAGGATGGGGACGGAGATCCGGATGGTGATCATGATACTGTTTGCTGATGTTGTTGATGATGATGCGGGCATTGGTGGCGTAGTCGCGTTTTGCGTTGAACTGGCACACCGAGTGCAGAAGGGGTGGAGGATAAAAGAGGATGAAGGAGGAAAGAGGCCGACTTCGAGGGGAGGACGAGGGGATGTAAATTATCTGGGAGATAGGGGGGGGCGGGGAGTAGCGAGGAGGGGGGCGGAGAGTGAGCGATGACTGAGGAGGGTGGATATCGAGGCTAGGAGAAAGACGATGATGGTGATGACGACGATGATGATGATGCTGATGATGATGATGCTGATGATGATGATGATGATGATGATGATGATGATGGTGATGGTGATGGTGATGGTGATGGTGATGGTGATGATGATGATGATGATGATGATGATGATGGTGGTGGTGGTGGTGGTGGTGATGATGATGATGATGATGATGGTGTTGGTGATGATGTT